GTTCCCCCAAAGCCCCAGTAGATAGTTGTATGTCATAGTTGCACATCCTTCTAGTTGCTGTATGTGGGATGCGGCCTCAGCATGGCCAGAGAAGCAGCGCGTTGGTGCGCGCCCGGGATCCGAACCTGGGCCGCCAGCACCAGAGCGCGCACACTTAACCACCAAGCCACCTGGCCAGCCCGCAGATGGCTGTTTCTTAAAACAAAAATTCAAAAACATAATTTCAAGCTTCATTTTCCACAGCTTTTGATTAAATTTTGTCAGTTGTTAAGCAGATAAAATAAAGACTTCACCAGGTGAATTTGCACTGACGGTCAGTCTTTGCTCTAGAACAGAGTTCCTCGGATAATTCTTCATTGTGGAGAGTTGTCCAGTTCATTGTAGGCTGTTCAGCACTATCCCTGGATTCTACCCACTGGATACTAGAAGGACTTCCCAAGTTGTGACAGCCAAAATGTCTCCAGACATTATCAGAAACCCACCCCTGGGCGAGAACCACTGCTCTCTATTACTTCATGGCACCCCATACTGCCAGTTGGCGGAGCCTTGGTTTTAAATTTTAAATTTGGCAACTGCCTTTGACTCCATGCTGATTTCCACTCTCACATCCAATGTGATCAGCCAACCAGAAGGCCTGTGCCTGTTGATCTCACCTGTGTGTTTTTTTCCTTTCTTCTACGTCTCTGTAGGAGATTTGGTTATGTGAATTTTAAATCTGCTGAGGACCAGGAAAAAGCCCTGGAACTTAGAGATACAAAGGTCCTTGGGTATGAAATTAAATTGAAGAAACCAAAGGGAAAGGAAAGAAAGAAAGGTATGCAAACAAGGTAATTTGTTCGTAGATACCTGTGTACCCAGAAGGCTCTGGGTCAGGCAGGAATACATATCATATTGTTTTTATCAGAAAGGGCAGGTACTCCTCACTGAGCAACAGGTCACTGCTTCCACAGCACAGACTTTATCTGCCTTACCTTCTCTGTCCTAATGTGCTTTCCCGGACTCATTCCCTGGCCACTTGCAACCCATCCATGGAGTCCCAGCTTACAGGTCACTTCCTCAGATCAGAAAAATCTTCCTTTCTCCCTAGACCAGGTTAAGTCTCCACTACTAGATGTTCTCATTTCCCCTTTTACTTTTCCATCCTGGCACTTGCCACAGTTTGTAATTATGTGACTATTTGTTTACTCTCCTTTTCCCCCCCCACAAGACCACATACCTGAGAGGGGAGGCCAAGTCTCTGTTTTCACAGCCAGCATGTAGCACAGGCCATCGCCCAGCGTCTGTGTTCCAATATTTGCTAAGTGAAGGAATGTGTATTGTTGTTTCCACGCTCCAACTCTTTGAGAAGTGTTTTTTGTCTCTTAGAAAACTTTTTTTTTTTTAAAGAGTTTATTTATTTATTTTTTCCCCCAAAGCCCCAGTAGATAGTTGTGTGTCATAGCTGCACATCCTTCTAGTTGCTGTATGTGGGACGCGGCCTCAGCATGGCCGGAGAAGCAGCGCGTCGGTGCGCGCCCGGGATCCGAACCCAGGTCGCCAGGAGTGGAGCGCGCTCACTTAACCGCCAAGCCACGGGGCCGGCCCTGTCTCTTAGAAAACTTTTGATGCTTATGAGATCTAAACTCAGACTAAAAATATTCTTTTGTGTTTATGTAAATCAAAATGCCAAAACACTTCTGATCGGGAACCTGCCTGACAACGTCACTCAGCATGAATTAAAAGAAGTATTTGAGGATGCTTTTCAAATCAGATTGGTGAGCAAGGATGGCATGAGTGAAAGGTATGTTTTGCGGCCGGCCCCGTGGCTTAGCGGTTAAGTGCGCGCGCGCTCGCTACTGGTGGCCCGGGTTCGGATCCTGGGCGCGCACTGACGCACCGCTTCTCCGGCCATGCTGAGGCCACGTCCCACAAACAGCAACTAGAAGGATGTGCAACTATGACGTACAACTATCTACTGGGGCTTTGGGGGGTGGGGGGGAGTATGTTTTGTACTTTGTACTGAAAAAGAATATATGTCTATTGGATTTAAACATAACAGAATTTTGTTACATTCTCCCAAATCACTTATGCCTGATTTTAGAGAAGGAAAGAGTGGTTACTCGACCTTTCTACTAGCAGGCATAAGAGCTGAAGGTAGTATCATAAATGGACAGCCAAAAGCTTCTAGAAAACTGTAGTGATATCATAGAGAAATGAAAACTTATTCTGCTACCAAGTACCAGATTGAAGATTGGAAGAATTCGGTCATAGATTATCTCCGTTCCTCTCTCTCCAGGGCTGACTCCAGTGAAATAACATACTTGGTGATTTGCCTGGACAGGTACCAAAACAGAACATTGAATTGGTCTGTTAGAATTATGTTGTAACCAACTAATGAAACACTATCACTGTATATCTAGGCTTTGGTAGTATAAAAGGGTAAATATGGTGAAATTAGGATGGAATAGAATGTATTTTGAGGGGATTGTCAATGAGGTAAAAATTGAATATCAGGATTGCAGATAAATTCGAGCTAAGTTGTTGGTGTAGGTGACCTCTAAAATAATCTATACCAGTGTATTCTGATGAACATAATCTCTAGGAAAGAGTCCTGCTGATTTAGAAAACAAGTCTGAGAGGGTAAATCCCAAATTGTTAGTAGTGTTTACTGTGAGGAGATTTGGGGGCACTCAGCCATGCTCGCAGTCAGCAACACTGGAAAATGACAAAACAAAAATTCCTGCCAAAAGCTATATGATTTCTCAAACTTTATGAAATTGTTTTAGACATACTTATCTTTAGAATTATTCCTTTAATGAAGAATTATTGCAAAGGGGAAATAGGAGAAGCCAAGGAATCCATGACCATATGAAATAAAGCATAGTACCTTTGTCAGAAATGAGCCTGGTGCATTATCTTCAAGAATATTCTTACTAAGCAGCTCCTTACTCCATACCTTTCACCAAAGTTAATTACAGGTCATAAAAGATTACACTGATAGTATGAAACCGTGAAGTACTAGCGGAAGGCGTGGAGAATGGTTTTGTTTTGTTTGTTTTTAATAATCTGCAAAAGGGGAAGGCCTTTCAAAGTATGACACAGACCCTAAAAGAAAAAGCAGATAAATTTGATTGCATAAATATAAAATATTTCTATATCGGAAAAAAATATCCCTGTAAACAAAGTCAAGAGACAAGTGACAAACCAGGAAAAAATGTTTGTAATTCATATCAAGAATGAGGGCTAATTTCGTTGATATATAAAGTACACCTTTCAAATCAGTAAGAAAAAGGCCAACAACCCAGTAAAAATAGAGGCACATTCCAGACAGGTCTCAGAAAAGGAATTTTCTTTTATTTATTTATTTATATTTTTGCTGAGGAAGATTTGCCCTGAGCTAACACCTGCTGCCAATCCCCCTCTTTTTGTATATGGGTCGCCGCCACAGCATGGCCACTGACCGACTAGTGGGGTAGGTCTGCGCCCGGGAACTGAACCCAGGCCTCTGACGCGGAGCATGCCGAACTTAACCACTAGGCCACTGGCACTGGCCCAGAATATTCTTTTAAACAAAGGAAAAGATACTCATCTTCACTTACAATAAAAGAATTGTAAATTAAAACTACACTGAGATGCAAATTTTTACCTATCAGATGTTCACAGGTCAAAAAATTTATTACCACAGTATTGAAGAGACTGTGGAGAAACTGGCATGCTCATACTTTGTTGGTAGAAGTGAAATTGGTGAAGTCAATACTTAGTAGTATCCATCAGAGTAATAATTGCATATACCATTTTATCCTACAGTTCTACGCCTAGGAATTTATCCTGCAGATAGCCTCAGACAAGTGTGAAATAATGTACTACCAAGCTGTTTGATGCAGAATTAGAATTGACCTGAATATCTATCAGTAGGAAACTGGTTAAAATTTTTTGGTAGATCCATAAGGTATTATATTATGCAGTTGTAAAAAGAAATGAAACAGCATTTTGTGTACTGATGGGAAATAATCTGCAATATACGTTATTAAGAGAAAAAGGCAAAGTATAGAACAAGTGTGTGTGTATAGTATTCTACTTTTTATGTAAAAATATAATGGAGGAGACACCATACAAAAAAATAAACTCAAAATGTATCAAAGACCTAAATGTAAGAGCTAAAATATAAAACTTAGAAGAAAACACAGTAGTAATCTTTGTGATCTTGGGTTAGGGTATTGCACAAGCGATAAAAGAGAAGTTTGAGAAGTTGGACTTCATCAAAATTAAATATGTTTGTACTTTAAAGGACACCATCAAAAAAGTCAAAAGAAACTACAGACTGTGAGAAAATATTGCAAATCATATACCTGATGAGGGACTTATATTAAGAATATGTAAAGAACTCTTATAACTCAATAATGAAAAGAACTCTTAAAAACTCAATTAAAAAATGGGTAAAGGATTTGAAGGACACTTCTTCAAACAAGGTGTATTAATGGCCAATAAGCACATGAAAAGATATTCAACATTAGTCATTAGGGAAATGCAAATCAAAACCACGATGTGACACCACTTCACACCTGTTAGAGTGGCTTTAAAAAAAAAGACAATTACAAGTGTTGACAAGGATGTGGAGAAATTGGAGCCCTCGTACGGTGCTGGTGGGAATGTAAAATATATAGTGCAGTTGCTTTGGAAAACAGTTTGGCAGTTTCTCAAAATGTTAAACATCGAGTTGCCATATGGTCCAGCAATTCTCCTAGGTGTCTACCCAAAAGAAATGAAAACATATATCCACACATTTCTACAAATGTTCATGTTAGCTTTATTCATAATAGCCAAAAAAGTGTAAACAACCCAAAATGTCCATCAGCTGATGAATGGATAAACAAAATGTGGTATTTCTATACAAGGTGATATTATTCAGCCATAGGAAGGAATGAAGTACTGAAACATGCTACAACATAGATGAATCTCAAAAACGTTAGGCTAAGTGAAAGAAGCCAGACACAAAAGATCACATATTTGTATAATCCCCTTTATATGAAATGGCCAGAATTGGCAAATCTATAGAGACAGAAAGTAGCATAGTAGTTGCCTGTGGCTGGGGGTTGGGAGTGAGTTGGGGGGAATGAGGAGTGACTGCTGATGGGTACTTTTGGGGATGTTAAAAATGTTCTAAAATTAGATTGTGGTGATGATTGTACAATTCTGTAAATATACTAGAAACCATTGTACATTTTATTTTGTTTTACGTTTTTACAAATTTATTTATTTTTTTCCCCCAAAGCCCCAGTAGATAGTTGTATGTCATAGTTGCACAGCCTTCTAGTTGCTATATGTGGGACGCGGCCTCAGCATGGCCGGAGAAGCAGTGCCTCGGTGCACGCCTGGGATCCGAACCCGGGCCGCCAGCAGCAGAGCACGCGCACTTAACCGCTAAGCCACGGCGCCGGCCCCATTGTACAGTTTAAATGGCTGAATTTTATGATATATAAATTATATCTCAATAAAGCTTTTAAAAAAAAATAGTGGGGGGCTCAGTCTGGTGGCCGAGTGGTTAAAATTCTGCGCTCTCCGCTTCAGCGGCCCAGGTTTGCGAGTTCAGATCCCAGGCACAGACCTACTCCACTCACCAGCCATGCTGTGGTGGTATCCTACATACAAAAAAATAGAGGAAGATTGACACAGATGTTAGCTCAGGGCTAATCTTCCTCAAAGAAAAAAAGAGGAGGATTGGCAATGGATGTTCTCAGGGCGAATCTTCCTCAAGCAAAAAGGAAAAAAAATAGGGTGTGTGTACACGTGTACATTTGCTTTTATATGTTCAGCATGTTGCTTCTAAGGATAGAAAT